GAAACCAAAATGCTCTACAACAACAAAACATTATTTGAAGCATTATGCAGCCATATACATGTGGTTATGATTAAATGGTCCCCTGGTGAAAGACCCCAGCTGGAGGCTAAGACTCAGCTAGAGTCATAGCCATGCACTGTTTGGGTGACCTTGGACGAGTCTGTCATCAATTGTCTGTGGAGAAGAACACTATCACTACCTCACAGGGCTGCTGGGAGGACTATTTTACAGTCATGGCCAAAGTCCTAACAACTATCTCCAGAGGCCTAAGCACTCACACTGGTCTTGTCTCTTTTGCTCTAATGCACATCGACCCTCTGGCCTTTGCACTTGTTGTCTCTGTCTGGAATGTATGTCCCCCACTGACTCCCAGACTCTGTCCCCCATCTCTTTCAGGTTTCCTCCTGAGTAATGTCATTCCTGACTAACCAAACTAAAGGAGAAACATCCACTCCAGGTCTCCCAATCTCCCTCTCTGCTTTCTCCCACAGCACTGGATACCTAACATCTGAAGAACTAATATTTTAGGTATCTGTCACATCTGACCCACTCTCAGTGGAACATCAACTCTATAAATAGGGCAGGGAATTCTGTTTTGCTCAATTCTGTACCCCCCAGCACCTAGGGCAGTGCCCAGCATTCAGGGAATGAGCGAATGAGTGAGTCTGGATTTTACCATCCCCCCATCATCTCCTCCCAGCTTCAGCCTCCAAGACCCTGTTCACTTGTTAGGTAACGAGATACAAGGGAGCAATGAGCCACTTAACCTCTTTGGTCTTGCTTCCTTTTCGTGGAAACAAGCGGCTAGACTACATTATCTATGAAGTGCTTCCACTGTGACAAGCGTCAGCCAACAAGAAAGGCCTAATTCTCCACTATGGCAAGCTTGCAACTGCATTAACCTGCTTACAAAAGCTGTATCTCTTTTACATTTTCCCAAGTTCAGGCCCTGGAGGCCCCCTGCCTCTTAGAGCAAGCGAGGTCTGGCTACCACTGTCTCTGTGATTTGTAACCTGCACGCCAGGTCAACATTAACCTCGAGAGCGAGATCACTGGTCTTGTAAAACTGACTCAGGTTAGGTACAGGGAAGTAAAGCAAACCACATTTGGTTGTTTCTTAAGATCAGGAACACCACCTCTCCTGTGCCCCTCAATTTAACACTAATTCCTTAGCAGCCCCTGCTGTTGGTTTTGGGGTCGAGCCAGAAGCCCTCTGGAGAAATAACAAAACTGTGTTTTCCAGGCCAAAAGGAAGGCACTGGGTGGAAAGCAGAGCTTGGTATAATAACAGAGTTCGTGCTGTGGCATGGGTGGGAGCAGAGGCCACGTCACAGGGGCAGGGTCCTTCACGGGCATTCCGGCCCATAGCATTCTAGGCTGGTTCTGAGTTTAATAAACTTTAACAACTTTATTTCTCCACTGGAAACAGAGACTCCCGATCTCTAAATGAACTCTGATGCCCTGTGTGCCCATCCATCTAAATCTCACATGACTATGTCAAAGACATCAGTGGTACTAGCTAAGCCACCACTAATGTTCCCTTGGTGCTTGAATGTGTCATTCTCTTATCAGACTATCAAGTCACTATCCCGCCACACTGGGTTAACTTACAAGATGCTGTTGGTTGTAGCCACAGAATCAGCAGCACTTCACTGGTTGCCTGTTCACTGATGGGCTGCCAAGCTCTGGCACAGTCTCAGACCATGCCAGGCTCCTGGAACTCCCATTATCCAGACACATCACATCCAGAAGCAGGAGGGTACAGCAGGCAAGCCCACACAGCAGGCCAATGAAACTTGGGCAAGCAGCTCTACCACTGTCAACCTTTCTGTGCCTCCCCTTCCTCTTCTGTAAAGTGGAATAATACAAGTGTCTCCCTATTTGGGAGATCACACCCAGTGACTAAACAAATACCTCAAAGCACCTCAAAGCAGAGCCTCTAGAGGACATGGCAATCAATGGCTATTAACAGGAATTGTGTTCACATCTCAAATCACACATGATCCAAAGGTTTGGGCTGGCCCTTCCTGCTGTAGTTATAGAGTTGTGGTAATAAACAGGACTTGGCTACTGAGAATATGTGTTGGAAAGCCCAGGCTGACCACAGAGGGAAAAGACACTGCACAGGAACCACCCTGTTCCTCTGCTGAATGGGCAGATAACGCTAATCAATCTCTGCACTGTTCTCCTACTGACTGTGATTTGAGAGTACTAAATTCATATGAAACCCACCTGCTGTGCTCTGAAATTTCACACCAATCCACTGGCAAAGAAGAAGTTTATGCATTAGAGAATGAGGACTAGTACCATGTCCCACAAGAGTGATGTGAGGGTCCAGGCATAGTGATACAGGCCTGTAATCCTAGCATTCTGGGAGGCTGAGGCAGGAGGATGACAAGTTTGAACCCAGCCTAAGCATTTTAGCACCTTAGCAAGATTTATCTTAAAGTTCAAAAGGAAGAGGGTTATCAGACATGGAGGCAGATGAAGCCTTCATCTCTTGGTTTACTGATGTGGACCTGGCACTCAGAACAGAGCCAGCAAAAGCTACCCACACATCTTCTGAATGAAGTTGCACATGGCCCACTAGACTTGCACAGAGTCTGCAGCATACAGCACTGAGCACACCACAGCCCGCACTCAGTGACTGTAGATCGAAGGTGCCATGACCTGCTCGACTTGTGCTTAGCATAGCATCACCATGTGGGGAGAACTCAGCTCCAGCAGGTTCCAGGCCTGACACAGCCACTCACTCTTCACATCACCCTGAGAGGGATCTTTCCTCAGAAACTTGACTCTTCCCATATGCACACCGAGAGGGTGGATGAGATCAACTTCAAGGCCTCTTCCGGTCCTGACCTTCTGTAATGCTTACTCTTTACTGCCAGCCTGACTGGCTTGAGAGGTGCCTAGGAGATTAAGAAAGTATACTTCTGGGCATGCCTGTGTTGAGTCACAGGGGTGTGACCTTTAAGGCTGTGTCAGATTCTCAGCTCCTTCCTCTTGGGCTCTTGCCCTGTCCCTCTGCTTCTGGCTACCATGAGGTGAGCAGCTTTCCTCCACCACGCCCTTCTGTCATGATGTCTCTGCTCTGCAGCCAGTCAACCATGGGAAGAAACTGAGCCAGAATCAGTCCTCCTCTCTTCAAATGCATACATAAGGTATTTTGTTTCAGCAACAGGAAAAAAATACTTCTTCTGATCCAAGGAGTACTTCCAGGCACCAGCAGGCAGCCCTAAGCACCACCTCTGCCCTGGAGGCCACGGCCTCACACACTGTTCTTACCCAAGTCCACCAGCAGGGGTCCAGGACACACAACACTCTGGACAGCCACAGATGCAAGCCAGGATGTCCCAGCCTTCTGGGCTCCAACCCCTCCCTCCATTCCAGTGTACACTCCTGTCCCTGCATCACCCCTCTTCTTCTCCCTTCTATCAATGTATCCATCACATCAGCATACAATGAGGGCCTACTAGGGTCCAGGCCCACAGGGGTGCACAGCGCAAACACGGTCTGAGATGAGAAGCAGAAAAAAGGGACACAAGCAAAAGGAATAACTAAGGAGCATAAGCATGCTATGAAGGACACAGGTCATGGGCTGGAACAGTAGTACCTCGAGTGAGGGGATTGAGGAAAACTCTCCCAAGCAAGGGACTGAATTGAGGCCTGGAAGATGAAGGGTACTAACCAAGGAAGATAGAACAGTGCATTCCAGACAAAAGCAGTCAGGCAGGAAGCAAATTAGGATGGGATCAGCAAGCTACTGTCATTTAAGTACACATTAATTATTATCTATGGTTGTTTGCATACTACTGTGGCAGAGTTGAGAGACTGCCAGAGGCTATTTGGCTTGTAAGGGATAAAATACTTTCAGGTCACACTGAGTTGTGTGTGCCAGGGACCTCCTATCTGGTGTCATGATCTGCGATCTACCCTGCAAAAGGCTGCCAGGGTGATCTTTCTGAAACACAAAGCGAAATACATTATTCTTTTGCCCAAACAACTTCAGTACTCTCCATGGGTTCTCAAACTATGCTCCAAGGAACACTCATTTAATGGCATGAACCCCAATAAAAGTATCCAAAGCTTAATGAAGTTTGAGAAACATGATGTTCTCATCTCTCCCTTACATGTTCCCAAACATTCACATCAGCACAAAAATGGCTGTGAGAAGTCCCATGGCAGAGAAAACTGTTTGACTTTGTTTAACCTACTGCCCTCCAATTTTACATGCCCACAAAAAGAAACCCCCAAAGTCTATTAACATTTTAAAGAACTGGTACTCTGAGGGCTAATGGACAAACTCTTGACTTTACTTTCACATTCTGACCCTCAGCCCAGCACGTAATCCCAGAGCCCATTCTGCGTTTTATGCCTGAACGGGGAGCCATCTCTCATGCTTATCCTTTGCCTTTTTCCTGCCTCCAGTGCCCCAAGTGAAGGTGACATGGTTGCTTCAGCTCTGTTCTGCCCAAAAGGCACTAGGAGCATCACTGCTGACATTTACCAAGTGTCTACATTTGCCACTTGTGGTGACATCCACGGCTTGGGCTGGTCTGGCATCTCTTTCTCTCCCTGCTTTGGTTCCAAGTTCCCTTTGGGAACCACCTTTATCTCATCCAGTGCCAGCTTCCAAGGGTAGGGATGGACCCTGGTTTGGCTCATCAGAGTATCCCACTCCCATGCTCAGCACCTAAGTCCTTGGGCCAAGGAATTCAACACTAGGAGAATCTGTTCCCTTGAAGTTCAGTGCTGTAGCAGCAGAGCTCCCCATCTTGGGTTTGGCCCTAAGCTTGCCCCAACATGAGTGACCAGAATGAGTCACGCTTGGATTCTAGTCACAGATACCCACAGAGGAAACATGGAAAGTGCTGCTCATGACTTCACATCCTTTGGGACGGTCTGGACCATCCACCTCTCCACGAGAAAGGTAAGAACTAGAGAGCAGTAGCCGAAAACCGGAGACAGGGAGGGGGTGCTGGTGGCGTGGAGAGGCATACCTGCTTGCAGTGCTTTTTCTTCCGGCTGCACTGGCTCCGTCAGCCTGCAAAAGAAATCCAAACATCTCCATCAGCCAAGGCTCCAGACAGAGATTCTCCCTACTGCCACCCCATCAGCTCTGCTGAAAACCTTCAGCCTTCAGACAAATGGTGAGCAGGCCCTAAGCCCCTGTTTCACTCCTCCAGGTTGGAAAAACCTGCCCCCAGTGGTGAGAGGGAACCAGAACACATAACCTATCCTATTTGCTTGGCCCTTTAAATCCCACTGAGCACCCACGGCCAACACAAGCCTAGCAACCATACAGCCTTGGGGACTCCGTGAAAAGTAAGTAACCAGTTAAATCTGAGATTGAATTGCACCATTTTTATTTTCAGCTGGGATTTCCAATAAAACAGTAGCTGCAGATTTATTCCTACCAACTGGAGGGGAAAAATCCTATTATGTTAAAATATTCTGTCCCCCAACCCTATGAGCAGGAGAAGGCAAGAGAGTGCCAGTTCTTAATCTCTTTTATTTGGGGGTGGGGGATGGAGAGATAGGGCTGACCAAATGAAATTTTCAGAAATCATAAAATTCTGGTTGAGATGGAGAGACTAAGGCTTCCAGGTATACAGAGAGACGTCTGAAGTCTCATGAGGGACAAAAGACAAATACCTGGAGTACTGACTCTCAAGCCAGCGCTCGTGACTTGGGTGCAGGGCCAAAAGAGGCCACAAATGACGAACAATGAAGGCCTGGACTTCCATCCACCACCATGGTGCACTCCCTCGCTCTCTCAAAACTCATGTAACAAGAGGAATCACCATAGCGTAACGCAGGTCTGAAAATCTAGAGCACATGTTCACAAATTCAAGCTGTTTCCAAGTTTAGAAAGGTAATACTGCCTATGCCCTTATTTTTAAATACCCCAGCAAGATGTGTGGAGGCACCCAGTAGTTGTGCATGTGGGTGTTTCAGTGGTGACACAAGCATAGGCAACCCTACGTGGACCCAACACGGGTGACCAGAAGTAGCCCCATTCCCCTTCCAGTCAAGTTCTGCTGCCCACTGACTACAGTCTCTTTGTTTCCAAGCTTTTAGAATTCAGGATCCTGAATGAAGAATTCAGGATCTAGAGTAGAAAGAGCTACAGCCTTTGGGATTTGTTTACAAGAAAATGCAAAATAGCAAAACCAGATGGTGGACTTCGTTCAAAACAACCAGTAACATACAAAATAAAGGGACTTTGCCCAAGAAAGATTTCTAGCTTCTCTTTAAAAAAGGGGGGTGGGGGGTGGGGGCTGGGGATTTAGCTCAGTGGCATAAGCACCTGCCTTGCAAGCAGGCAGTCATGAGTTCAATTTCTGGTACCGAAAAAAATGAAAAAGACCAAAAAAAAAAAAAAAAAAATCCAGCAACACCCAGTCCTACAGAGTGACAGCTAGTGCTGACCTACTTGCTCCTTCGAAATCCCCACCACCTCTTCTTGTCTTGTATCCAGTGCCTTCTTGGCCCGTGGCTGTTGAGCTCCTCCCCTAGGTTGCTTGCCACCAGGCACTACTTCACAAGTAAAGCCACAGAGGCTCGGTGCCTTTAAGTCATGTATCAAAAGTTCCACAGCTTCAGATCAGGTCTGAGTCACTCTCAAGGCTGCTTGCTCAGTTCTGGAATACTTTATCTCCCACCAACATTCAAGAGAGCCAAATGGGAAATGAGGTGACATCACAGAGTCCCATACCTGACATAAGGAAAATGAAAGAGGACGAAAAGGGAGGGTGAAATGTAAATTCCAGAGGGAGAACTTAATGGGATGTGGGCATGTGATTTCAGCGACAGAACGAGAAGACAGAAAGCGGCCTGTGCATCACTTCACCGGGAGCAAAGGACAGGATCTTTCTGAAATTTTGTGTTCTGGTACACAAAGCTGTTTTAGTGTTCATATTCTGAGAGGCAGGGGTGATGCAGGGGTAGAGGTTCTGCCCCAGAGAGTTTTAAGAAACCAAAACCTCAAATGATCTCTCTCCTTTCCCACTTAACCCTGCATGTGCACTTCAAGCATCATTTTTAATGACGCCTTTGCTGTCCTCTGCCATTACAATTTTACTTAGGGTTGACCAGGTCAAGAGCAGTAAATGTATGACAGGGTAGGGAGGATCTGAGGCTCTGCTTTTGGCACATCTGACATTCTCCATCTATGTTTCTTTTTCACTAAGTTGATGACACTTCAGCTTCATGGTATTGGCAGACACCCTAACTTCTTTTTTTTCCTACTTATTTTTATAAAACAAAGACAGAATGCTAAACATATTCCAGTAGCTGTTAAAACAAATTCTTTTGCAGAGACAACAAATGGTGGCACTAGGGTCCTGGAGCTGTGAAAGGCAGGAGTACCTACCTGGACAAGGTGAGGGATGTCCCATTAGTAGCAGGTACAGGCATGTAATGGTGTGGTGATGGCCAATGGATGCAGTGGGAGACGTCCAAGATGCATATGGCAATACTACAGCACATGGTAACCATGGCCCACCACCAGGACAGGGCACAGACTCCTGGGCTCTGCAGCTGAAGCCCACAGTGCTGACAGACAGCATCAACTCTCAAGAGTAGAAAACCACATGACACTTGGCTGGCTTTGTCCATGGACAAATTCAATTAACTTGAACTCTGATGCTGCCATTTCTTAGACCAAAATGGTCGAAGATGAGCAATTTCATATAATTCAACTTAAACCACAAGCTCTCCCTTATCTAGCATAATCCGACCTGATTCTCCACATCAACCAAAGTTGAAGAGAGCAGCTGTGTAGTCTGAGTCTGAGTCTGAGCGAGTCCTGCTTTTGCCATTTTCTAGCTGTGTCATCTTTACCAAGTCACCTGGGCTGCTGAGACATCAGTTTCCTCAACTGCAAATTGTGCGGGTGTGAATCCTAGAACCTACTGCACAGACTGAGGCACAGGACTACAGAATAGCTGTGTAATATCACACAGCAGGTGAGCAAGTCACTAATCACCCAGGACTGCCAGAATCCCATGTTCCAAGTGTCACCTCATGAGGGTCCAAAAGACTCCAAAGCCCTGAGGCTCAGTGAGAAGCACACTGAACGCAGCGTGCAAGTGAAGGCACCAAGACCATGCTGTGCATAAGCAGTAACTGCTCTGGTGATGGGAACTTGGTAGCTGCTATGTCACACCACTGTCATCCGCCAAGGGGTCACATGCTTCTCTTGGTCTCATTTCGAAGTTCACAAACTCTTTCCCTGCCCTGGACCAGAGGGTCTCCATAGATAAAAATGGCAGCAGGAGTAGAAGATTAAATCAGATCCCCTTCCCCCTCTCTAACATCTTTATGTCAACCTGAACCAGTCCCTCTATGGCAAATGAAATATGGTGAGGGATCTAGGGCACATGGGAGACAGTGCACCTCACTTAGTGGCGGGGGTTGGAGAACCAGCCCTCCTCCAGCCCATTAGGGTGCCCACCCCCCTCTTCCTAGCCACACCCATCTCTTATTCACCAGCTTCTCCACAGGCCCTGGGCAGAGCTATTTTTAGTTTCATTAGACCCTCCTCTTCCCTCCCAAATGAATGTTAAGTTGTTCTTTTCCATTCTCTTATTAAGGGTTTTCTTGGAAAGAAAATATTATTCCAAACCCAGAAATTTTATTTCTAAATTTGTGCAAATGTAAGTTGTAAGACATTAGCTGCATTTCACATTTTGTGCAAATGGCAGAAACAGGCAATTCGTGTGCTACGGGATGGGGGCTGGCCAACGATTTCGATAAAATAAACCCTTTTTTAATTTAAATGCTAATGCACTGAATTAAAATTTAATAACTGAGGAAATTGAAAAGCCGAGCAGGAATATTGGAAATAAATCCAAGCAGAAACAGCTGAAATTAAAAATTCTAGAGAGTGGGAGGACAGCAGCTAAGCTGTCTTATATGATTACATTTTTTTTTTTCAGAATGAAGCAAAAAAAAAAAAAAATCCTATCTCTCGCTGGCTCTAGGGCAGTAAATCCACAGTGCTGTGATTTATTGCTCAATTTTCCTGAGGGAAAAAGGCTTTCTTTCATGCTGAAATATTTCATAAATTTCAAGCCAGCATAAATTCTTAATTTAAAAGTTATGGAGGTCACATTTAGTGCACTGGTATGATTCCAAAATCTTAAAGGAATAGCAGCAAACCAAAAAAAGAAAAAGAAAAAAAAAAAAGAAGAGAAAAGGAAGGGTAGAATTTCCTTTTTTTTTTTTTTTCATTTTTGGTTTTAATTCACAAGTTGAAATTTCATTATTAAAGATTTCTGTTGGATGGATAGAAACCAAGCATGTGGGAAGCTGGTGTGTGTTTGGAAATCTGCTGCAAAAGATAAAGAGATAAAGATTTAATTCAATTATAAAAAGGCATTTTTTTTAAGCCACTTGAGGAATTTCTGGTAAAAATTTCCTCCCTTCATTGCCCGGGAAGGGGTAAGGGTGGGGGAGGGTGGCCAATGTAATTGCTTCTCTTAGATCTCCAATCTTTTGTGCACACTGATATATTCATTTGTTATACAGCTGTTCAGCGGCGGAAAGAATGCTGGGGCGCCCATAATTCTAAGCAAATCAATCAAAAATTAATGATTTGTCATGCTTGCACAATGGAGGAAAAACAGCTCCTTGGGTCCTGGCTGCCTGATCTCGAAGAATGAAATGCCTTTCTGTGATAACAGAGCTGAGCCAGAGAGTGGGGGAGCCTGAAAAGTCACCGCAAACATGGGGGCAGAGTGGTGCCCCCAGCTCTGTGACACAGGGACTACCATCTTTCAGTGAGCATGTTCAAGATGGCACCTCAGCCAGCCAAGCCCACTATGGACCAGCCCAGTATCCATCCCAGCACATGTCTGCAGCGGAATAATTAGGTCCTTGTCTTTTCCCTCCCCCACTGCAACTTGAAAATCACTTCCTCTCCAGAGAATTGACTGACTCCCCTCCCCCCTTTAGATGTAATTTGTCCCTGTTCATTGTTCTCCCAACACTGCTAACACACCACATCAGTGCCTTCCACCAACCCCATAGGACCGAGGC